ATATCGGTGCTGATGAACCGTAAGGAAAAGGCACTGTATTTGTTGGTATTCTTACACTCAACACCACAGATGAGTCCTAGTCTTATCAAGCTACAGAAGACGGTGACATCCAGAACCTGCAACTTGTGGACGAAAAAGCTTCTGATCACCTGGTCCAACGTAAACAACAGTCATGGTAGGTATTGGGAAACCAATACCGGTTAGTTCGATGTATGATCGCCAGGCAGTATGTGATACGAGCCTGCGCCGATGGTCCGGCAAAAATACTGCCCTCCTCCAATGCACACTGCACGATCGACGATAGTGCATTGTTACAGCTGTGATCCGTCTGTGATTACTGATTACGAGGTATCACCGATATATACGGATATTCTCAGTCAATTTACATTTTTATTATTCCTTTTTGTGGTATATAATTCTTTATTTTATTGGTATATTATTATTTATTATTTTATTATTATTAAAATATAACTTAATCATTACGGAATCCTTTGTTTACTTTTTATCAATAAATCACTTGACAGCAGTCACTTAACGCAATTTGACCAATAAATGAACTTTATACATTCTAGGAATATCGCAAGTTTATACAAGGCAGTAAATAAATCATTTTTATACTACACAGAAAAAAAAGTTGTTGAATATTACATCCAAACTGCTGCAACCAGGTCAATCCATCGGTTGTGTAATATAACGTTGTACGATGTACATCGATTTTACGAACAAAATTACATCCATTGATGTAATATTGTATCTGATTTTTGCTATTACATCATTATTTCATACATCAGCTTGAATTACATTGATCGATATTACATTTTTTTTTGCTGTGTAAGTTTGCATTCTCTCCCATTATACGAATCTATGCGTCAGGCAGGAGAGTTGCCATTTAGCGTAGTTTTTAATCTATATAGATTTGAATATTTTTTGAGTGTAGAATAGCAGGTTTATTTGAAAGTTATACATCTGTCAAATGTACAGTACTGGACAAAATAAATCATACGCTCAACCCAAAAAAGTACATTACATCATACTTTTTTTCTATTTTGCACGCAATTTCAGCAGTATATTCAGAAAAGTTCAAGTATTTCTCATAGTGCATTCAATTAGCTGAATGAAAATTGTTATAATATTCTACTATTTTTGTTACAAAGTTAAATAAATATATGCTCACTTTTGTGTTTGAACAAAATAAATCATACACTCCTAAAATTTTATTTTTTAGCCATCGAATAAAAACAAAATCTGAAGATTTGGCATCATGGCGCAATATTTGACAGTTCTTATTCCGGGAAGCGTGCGCCTCGCACCATTGTGTTTTGTTTGCGTCATTTGAAAAGTGAAAAATTTCGGGAAAGCAGATTTCGCTCGATGTTAGAAATTTGGTGATTCGCGATCGTCAAAAAGGAATTTATTTTCGTAAAATTGCCGAAAAGTACTTGATCTCAGTTGGAGCTGTTCAGCACATATGGAAAAAGTACGAAACACGAGGAATTGTGAGGAATTTATCCGGACAAGGACGTCATCGTGCGACAAGTAATCGTGATGACATCATAATTGTTCGAATGGCTAAGCAGAATCCGAAGTATTCGTCGAGGCATATTGTGGAACCGATGGATCTCAATGTAAGTCGACATACTGTGCCCCGGCGACTTAATGAGAGCGGTTTGAAAAGCTGTTTGGCATCGAAACGTCCTTTTATCAACAAGCGGAACCAACGGAAGCGACTGGAATTTGCTAAAAATTACGCCGGAATGACTGTGGACGGATGAGAGCAAATTTGAGTTATTTGGACAGAAAAGGCGACCAAGGGTTTGGCGAGGTTCCGGTGACGCTCTTAAGGAACCACACATTCAAAAGACGGAGGCGGAAATATCATGGCATGGGGAGCATTTGCGTGGTCTGGTGTTGGAAGCTCGGCTCATATAAAGGGAACTGCAGATGTGTACATTGACTTGTTAAGTGAAAATCTGGAAGTTTCGCTACAGAAAACTGGCCTGGAATCCAATTACATTTTCCAAAAAGATAATGACCCATAGCACACTGCGAAGAAAACAACGGCATTTTTCAAATCAAATCGGATCAAAACGCTGGAATGGTCTCCCCAATCTTCCGATCTCAACCCAATTGAGAATTTGTGGTCTTACTTGGACAACAAAGTGGATAAAGCATCTATTTTCCAACAAAAACGTTTATTTTGAAGCACTTGAAGCAGCGTGGGAGAATATCGATTCAGGATATCTACAAAACCTCGTCGAAAGTATGCCAAGACTGTTGGAAGCAGTGTTGAAAGCAAAATGTGGTCATACCAAATACTGAGAGTAAGTTGAAAGTTGAATTAAACAAGAATTTTCAATAAGAAATCAGGCGTATGATTTATTTTGTCCAACTCGAAATTCTCCTTTTACAACTTATAAATGATGATTGAGAAAGTCATACAATATATTGAATATTCTAACCTGCACAGTTTTAGCGAAAAACATACAGAAGTATTGCAGAACAAACCATTATTGTATATTTGAATCTAGCTGATATATCGAGCTCCAAAGAAAAATTATATGGGTGTATGATTTATTTTGTCCAGTACTGTAAGTTAAAATTCATCAAATGGACCGTAGCCTAAATAATGGGAGGGGGGGGGGGCGGTTTGACAGCTGTAGTATATTCCTAGTCCCACCATCGAATGGCATTTTCTTGATAAGATGAGGCAGTGATCAGGCATGGAAAATCATTTGCATTCATTTACATTCATTTGCCCCTAACTTTTTTTCATCAACAGAATTCCGCAAAATGATGTATGGAGCTTTTGTAGGTTATTAGCTACAACTAATGTTAACAACTAGAATCCGTATCTCTTATGTACGACGAACCAGAGCGAACAAAAGCCACTACTGTTTTTCAGTGAATGTATGTATTTTACATTCACTGAAAACCAGTAACAAGTTCTGCCCGGTCTAATTCGTGATGCATACAGATTTGAGTTATGGGCAAAAGTTGTAGCTAATAACAAAACCTACTAAAGCTCTACACATCATTTTGCGGATTGCTTTTGATGAAAAAAGTTAGAGGCAAATGAATGTAAATGATTGCATGAAATGAATGTAGGGGAAATGACGGCTTCGGCATGACAGACTATTTTCGGCAACCCAAATTGAAACACTATTTTCACTGGATTTTCTTACGAAAACACTTCGCTGAATGCATGCAAACGATTCTTTATGCTATCAGCTTCAATTTGCCTATATTTTTACCACTGAGAAAAAGCAATCTAGCAGGGTTTTCTTGAAATGAAACACACGCACTACAAATTGTAGCTGATTTCGAGTTGCCGATAATAGAACAGCAGATTTACATGCAGTTCAAATGGAACGGTTGCCGAAGAAAAACTGGTTGCCGACAATACTCGCTCTCACTAGAGAAGATTGGAGCTTTGTAAAAGCGTTTCAAAACAGTTTTTGACAATTCTTTAGACTGAAATTGTTAGAGCAGCTGGCAGCAAAAGATTGTAAACAAACCAATACTGCATATGTGTTCGTTCCATAGAGAAAAAGGCTATAGCAAGAAGGTCGCTGCTTAGGTTGCCGAGAATACGTAAATTCCCCTAAATGATTTTCCATGCCTGGCTGTGATATAATTAAACAAATAAGCACTGCAAACAACGCTCTTTGAAAACAATTTTATGAATATTTTACTTGAAAAAATGCAAGGATTAAAAAGGACCCTAATAAAAATGTTATGGTTAATTTGCTCAACGACGTGTTCGGGATATCATTCAAACCATTTGTGCAATAGTTCAATCATTTGGGTTATCGTTCGGTTATGGTATTTTTTTTATTAGGAGAGGACATTTTCGGGCAAAAGGAGGATGTAGAAAAATTATTGAAAAAGGAGTACATGCCCTCCTTTAGGATACCATATGGTAACCTTAGTCCCAGCTGTATTTTTATCAATTCTCGATGAAAATTTCAAAAGGACCTATCTGCTTTGATCGATTCTCTTCATCGATTTAATATGATCGCCAATGGCATTGAATTCTCATGTGATTTGAAGTGTCGCATGAAGGATCATGCCCGGGTGTAGCCAACATGGTGCTGGTTACTCATCTTGACTCTTATTGATCTTCTTTTTGAATTCTCATGTTAATTGATTTATCGCATGGTGGGTTTGGCACGTCTTTATTATTTTTTTTGTTTCAAGACCCATACTTGCCGGAATATGTTCCAGCCATAGCTCCGGAACCAGCATAACCATTCCAAAAACATTCAATAACGTTCTATAGGGCCATGGTATCTTTGTACTGTTCAATACTGTGCTAAACTAATACATCATCATCGACTGACTTGCGGTTATTTATCTAATTGACATTAAATGTAATCGCAAGTCAGCCGTACTCTGATTTTGGTCATAAAATAAAAATTTAACGATATGCCCCCTAATTTGGGCCCATTCATAAATTCAGCAATCGACTAAATTTTCAATATCGACCAAAAATATCCATTAGTACCGTCCCAATGACGCGTTCATCTGGATAAAATTGATAAATAGCAGATTTTTAGCGATGGGCCCATTCTTAGATCCACAGGCCAACATTAGAGCCATTTCCCCTATATTCAATATTTGTTACGAAACATAGATGCATTCTATCACATTACATGTTTATTTTCAAAATTATCTACAAAATAAGTTTTAAATTCGAAAACTTGTAAAATCGTTGAACACCGTTTTCTCAATTGCAGTTTTTTACAGATGGGACTGACTTGTTATGGGCAGTTAACAAAAATTACAATTTTGGCTCAAATATAAAAATAACAAATAAATGTGCATATTGTCAAACATGCTAAAATTACAACTTAATCCGATAGTTGAAAAACATTCAAGCATCTTTGCCGGTATGTTCTACGCGAACAGGGCTAGAAAAAATATCTAAAAGTCTTTCAGTTTCAGTACGAAATTTTACGGAAGTCATCACGGAACAATACAACTGACACCCCCACAGTTCCTTCATCTTTTCAAATAGATTATATTTCATTTTTCGCACAGTTTTTGTTTTTTCCATTATTTAGTTCTATTATGTTCTTCTTGTCCTTCTTGCTTTCGCTATGACAACAAATCTAGCAATGTGTTACCTCTGACGTTCTGACTTTCTTCCTCCGGTTTTGCTTTCGATACTCGCCTTTCTACTACAAACTAGCATTCGCATTCATAGGTTCATCTATTTGTGCCCGATCGTGACTCGATGGTCATTTGTTCCTTTCTAATGTTTGAAAAGGATCAGGCGCACGTCGGCGCCACTGACATCACACAATCCGACAGTATCCAATAAATAAACAGCTAAACTATATTATGTAGATCACTTAATCATGCGATTTGTGTTGGACTTGTGTTTGCGTGAGTATGTGGATGCGTAATGTGTCACATTTTGAGTCACAGTGGATATTGATTTCTGAGTCTGGTGAAAAAACGACTACGTTTGTTTTTAATCTTCTTAATGCTCGGTGATTTTTTTTTTAATGTTTATATGACTTGCATTGCCGCTGATGAAAAGATAACGTTTTCTGTTTGCACATGGCAATGCCTTATTTTGTTTTATTGTTTATGTACGTTTGGGTTTTTTTTTTATTATTATTTCTTCATTTGCCATTCAATTAATATAGATTACACTTCTTTTCCATAATATCAGTTACTTGGTTTTTGATCCTTGTTAAGGTTTTACAATTTCACTAAAAATTATCCGCTTGCATCGTTATTTTTTAAATATTTTCTTGTTGTATTTGAAATATGTTTAAATTGTTTGTATTGTAAAAGGATGGTAAAAGTACTTTCTCCTTCCGTTTTCGGTGCAGACACTGATCAGCTGCGGCTGCTTCATCCAAGATTATCTCCACTACCGATGTTCTACTGTTATTTCCCTTATTACTAGGTAATGAATAACATCTCGATATCTGAATCGGTTCGAAATGGTTGAGTCAATTATTGTTGTTTCTGTTTCCTTAGTTTCACTATCAACCAGATCTGATTCGGAGCTACTAAGTTTCTAGTAAAAATAAATAGACAAAATAAATGATCCTTCCTATGTTCTGATTTCTGTTATCCTTTACTCACATTTCACTGGACTGTTTCGGTTAGTTTTTGTTTCTTTTCTTTTGCAAAATATATAGCGTTTCATTCAAGCGAGAATAGTAATCCGTGTTCCTTCTTTCTTAACAATTTTCTGTTTTTTTTTTATCCTTCCTAGCACAATTTTTTTCTGTTGAAATTTCCTATGACTCGTCGGTTTCACAATGTGCTTATATGCGGATGAACTACTACTGAAGATGAAATCTTATTGTTTATTTCTGAAGTGCAATAACTGAAATGAGGACAGGTGTTTCCTGGAATAACAGACACATCCGCGTGGCAAAAAAAAACATGGGTGAAATTGAAAATGTTCTATTCGTATTAAACACCATGCGTTGCAGACCGACTCAAAATTCAGCAGTGGAGACGCATGGTTGTTTATCTGCCTAGTTTGTAATGCGTCGAGCCAAGCGTCGTGCCCGTTTATTCACAACACCAAATGAAAAACCATTGAAACGGGATCAAGCGAAGTACGGTCTTACGGACTATAATAAAAGGATTCATATATAATTGTTTCTGATTTTTATGTTCGTCCTATGAGTAATAGAATCGGTAAAGTGTTAGCTAATCGAATAATATGTACAACCTCTCTGCGGAAAAATCGAGAGAATATGGTAGCAAACCGTAGTGGATCGCATTCGCCAAACTGTAGGAGGATATTGGGGTGCGATACCACTGTTTGTATAAGGTAGGTATAGGTAGAGGGGAATAGCAAAAAACAGACTAAATATTTGTTAGCAGTATTGCTGCAGGTTGGCATTTAAATAAACGGATTTGGAAACACTGAAAACGAAAAATAGGATAGTTTGATTCTTGTTTCAGATTTGTAACTTCTAAACAATGTTTCTATATAGAGTTTAAAATATTTTCCATCTCTCACTATCTTTTATCTAAAGATTTTAAAATATGTATTCTCCAGACGCACATATCCTTTCTTGCTTACACAATATGTATCTCGCACATCCTTCTAATTAAAGTCTACACAAAAAAGATAATAATTGAAACAAAAACCTCACATAGCCTATACACCACGTGCTCACACCCTAATCGGAGTCTTCATCCCGGTCGTCGAACCCGGACAAGTCCGCCGACTGCAGCATCGAGCGGGACAGGGCGTACTCGATCAGCGCCAGATGGCAAAATACGTATTGATCCGGCATCTGAATCGAGTACGCTCGCTGCGAACGGATTTTCTCCACCGTTCCCTTGATATCGGCCGTTCCAACATCCTCCAGCCGCGATATGCAAATGTCCAACGTTATGAACGTCCCCGTCCGGCCGATTCCGGCGCTACAGTGTACCACAATTGGAGGCCCTCGCGGATGACCAGCCCACAAATCACCGAGCGACTTTACCATTTCGGCTTGCTTCTCGCGGGCACGCTGCAAGAAGTTCAACATAGCACGAGCCGATGCTGGTACCCCATAGTCGGGCCAGCTGGTAAACTGCCAATGGGACACACAGCGCACTTCATCAGTCTATAAAAAAAAACAAGATACCAATCAAATCACCGCTTTTAATCCAGCCTTGCCGCCAGAGAGAAAATAACCTACCTTAATATTCTTCAGTTCCAACTCGGCCACCGTATAGTCCTCGTTGGCTTCCACCGAGAGAGTTCGCACCTGGTAGCATCCGTACTCCACCACGCTACCATCGGCCGGTTCCCAGTACTGGCCACATTTCACTCGGCCCCGTTCCATAACCCGTGTTGTCATTACTATCACCAGACAGTGCTGCTCCCACACCATCCGCCAGAAATCGTAGGACGTCTTCGGGAGGGGTCCTTGCGTCGAGATGTACGCATTCTTCTGCTTGTACCCATCGACAAAGTTGGCATTGATATAATCCGATGTCGGGTCGTCCGCTTCCTGCGAAAGGATCACCCGGCTGTGGTCGTAGCAGAGCACGTCAGTGTACCGGTTTTTCGCTAGGTTGTTTCTTAGTCTGGAAAGAAAGGGACAAGAACAGCAGGGTAAGTTTCGATTGGATAAATTTGGGTTCGCAGAATTATCGACGACGCGACGGCAGCGGCATTTCAGCGGAATTCTCGTCTGCAACGAGCTTTTTGTGTGCGGAAAACAAATGGTTTCGCAGAAACTGCGCTTGCGCAATTCGAACACGGCAAAATTGGTTACCAAGATTGTGGATATGGCAAAAAAAAATCCTACTTAGAAAAGACTTTGCTAACGTTTTGTGAAGGTAATATTGGTTTGTAGGTGGGCAAAGTGGCGTGATTGGCAATGAGATCGAATGGAAATGTATGAATCCAAGAAATAACTTTGCCGACTGTTAGAGAAATGGTTATTATTTGTTCAGAAACTAACTTAACCCATTAACGCCCAGGGTGTTTCACAATTAGGTTTTGCACCGTCGGGGTTAACCTCAATCTAATGACTGTTTACGTGGACTTAGTCGAATTTTTCTTGGGTGGATTTTCTCGATAATTTTTCAGACTAGAGTGAGATGTAAACCACACTTCTGCAATGTCCACGAGCAACATCTTTTCAACGCGCTGTTCCTCGACAATTTTCAAGTTAAAATTCGGAAATTTTAGATTTTTTTTTTTTGAAAATCGACTAAGTCAGGGAAAACATGTCAGAAGGGTATAACTCGAAACGTAAACAATGACTTTGATCGTCGATTTCTCTTGAATGACAACACATACCAACGGAATATGACTATACCAGCTCATAGAACAAACATTTTACTGTCAGATGATTTAGTTAGTTTGAGTGGGTGTGTTGTCATTCGTAAGAAATCGACGATCCAAGTCATTGTTTACGTTTCGAGTTAGACCTTTCTGACATGTTTCCCCTGAAGTGCTTGTAAACAGTACCACTGAATTAGGTTTTGCACCGTCGGGGTTAACCTCAATCTGATGACAGTTCAGTGGTACTGTTTACGTGGACTTAGTCGATTTTTTCTTGGGTGGATTTTCTCGATAATTTTTCAGACTGCAGTGAGATGTAAACCACACTTCTGCAATGTCCACGAGCAACATCCTTTCAACGCGCTGTTCCTCGACAATTTTCAAGTTAAAATTCGGAAATTTTAGAATTTTTTTTTTTGAAAAAACGACTAAGTGCTTGTAAACAGTACCACTGAATTAGGTTTTGCACCGTCGGGGTTAACCTCAATCTGATGACAGTTCAGTGGTACTGTTTACGTGGACTTAGTCGAATTTTTCTTGGGTGGATTTTCTCGATAATTTTTCAGACTAGAGTGAGATGTAAACCACACTTCTGCAATGTCCACGAGCAACATCCTTTCAACGCGCTGTTCCTCGACAATTTTCAAGTTAAAATTCGGAAATTTTAGAATTTTTTTTTTTGAAAAAACGACTAAGTGCTTGTAAACAGTACCACTGAATTAGGTTTTGCACCGTCGGGGTTAACCTCAATCTGATGACAGTTCAGTGGTACTGTTTACGTGGACTTAGTCGAATTTTTCTTGGGTGGATTTTCTCGATAATTTTTCAGACTAGAGTGAGATGTAAACCACACTTCTGCAATGTCCACGAGCAACATCCTTTCAACGCGCTGTTCCTCGACAACTTTCAAGTTAAAATACGGAAATTTTAAAATATATATTTTTCGAAAAAACAACTAAGTGCTTGTAAACAGTACCACTAAACTGTCAAAAAGGTTCAGCCGATTAACACTGCGTTCATTTGTGACGTCACGCTGCAGTACCTAATTAGGTTTTGCACCGTCGGGGTTAACCTCAATCTGATGACAGTTCAGTGGTACTGTTTACGTGGACTTAGTCGTTTTTTTTTTCTTGGGTAGATTTTCTCGATAATTTTTCAGACTGCAGTGAGATGTAAACCACACTTCTGCATTGTCCACGAGCAACATCCTTTCACCACGCTGTTCCTCGACAATTTTCAAGTTAAAATTCGGAAATTTTAGAATTTGTTTTTTCGAAAAAACGACTAAGTGCTTGTAAACAGTACCACTGAACTGTCAAAAAGGTTCAGCCTATTAACACTGAGTTCATTTGTGACGTCACGCTGCAGAACCTAATTGTCAAAAAGGTTCAGCCGATTAACACTGAGTTCATTTGTGACGTCACGCTGCAGTACCTAATTGCAGCGTGACGTCACGAATGAACTCAGTGTTAATCGGCTGAACCTTTTTGACAGTAGGACATTGCAGAAGTGTGGTTTATATCTCACTCTAGTCTGAAAAATTATCGAGAAAATCCACCCAAGAAAAATTCGACTAAGTCCACGTAAACAGTACCACTGAATTGTCATCAGATTGAGGTTAACCTCGACGGTGCAAAACCTAATGTCTGATGAAAAATTTGAAATTTTGAACGATCTAAAAAAAAAATCGGTTTTTAATAGTTGCCATTCTTGCCTTTATCGTAAGGATCCGACTCTAATTAGTAGTAAGTAGTAAAATAATGTTTATTTCTGTTGATTATGATAGTACATTGATTTAACATTTTAATTGATTAGCCTACCTGGCTCTTCATCTTTGTTTAATTTGATATTCTAATTTAATATTTGCGTTTTTCAACTAGTTTAGGGGTGTGTTTTGTTTGAATTGAAAAAAAGTGATAACCTACCTAACTACGAGTATAACTTAACCTAACGTGCTAGATCACGTATGATCTGATGATTTGATCTCATACAGGTGTCTCCGAACCTTTCCAAGATGAATACTCTCCGTTCTTCTAACGTCTGAATTCCAGCCAGGAGGTGGATCTCAGATTGTCTAGTCCGCGAGGGACTGTTTAAAAGCATCATAAGATATTGGCATCCCGTATTCTATTACGGGAAGGATGATTTATTTGTAGACAACAAGTTTATTTTTAGGCGATAGAGTAGATCTCTTGTTGATGAGTGGATACAGATGTTACACTTGGTTTTGGTTTTGTCAACGTGCTCCCTGAAAATCAGCTTGCTGTCTAATGCTAGGCCCAGGTAGACTACCTCTTTCGACCATTCCACTACTGTGCCGTTCAGGCAGATCTTGTTATTCTCCGACGGAACAAGTCTAGGAGATTTAGAGTGTGGAAAGATAATGGCCTGGGTCTTTGCCGCGTTGATACGGATCTTCCAGCTGTTGAAATATCCAGACAGGACGCCCAGGCCTATCTGAAGTTTGGCGGTCAGAGCTCCGATGACCCTACTCTTGTAGACGATGGATGTGTCATCTGCGGACAAAGACAACGATCCACCATCAGGGAGAGCCGGCATATCGGAGGTGAACAGGTTGAATAGAATGGGGCCAAGGATGCTTCCTTGTGGAACCCCAGTACCGATGTTGAAAGCATCCGATGTGATGCCATTCAGAGAGACTCGGAACGTCCTGTTCGATAGATAGTTATTAATTATCTTCACTAGGAAGATTGGAAGACCATACTGCTGCAATTTGAACACCAGGCCATCATGCCAGACATTGTCGAACGCTTTTTCAACGTCCAACAACGCCTTGGCAGATGTTTTCGAAACAGAATTGTTTCGTCTGAGAATGTTTGTTACTCGAGTCAGCTGGTGGACGGTCGAACGACCTTTCCGAAAACCAAATTGTTCCTCGAGTAACAAGTTGTTTTCATCGGCAGATGTTAGGAGCCGGTGGTACACTGCTCTTTCGAACAGTTTTGATAACCCTGAGAGAAGGCTGATTGGTCAATAGCTTGAAGGAGAGGACGGATCCTTCCCAGGTTTCCGGATGGGTATGACTTTAGCTGACTTCCAGCACGAGGGGAAGTAGCCAAGTCGGAAGCACAGATTAAAAATCAGTGCCAGATGGTTGTATAACCAGATTCAGGATGTTGTCGAAACCTGGGGCCTTCATGTTTTTAGATGATTTAATATAGGCCAACAGTTCGTCAGCCTTAATATCGGATTCCCCGGAAAAATATTGTGAATCTGATGGAGGTTGGTTGCGTTTTCAGCAACCTCAGCTTCGTGAGGGCTGACGATGTTTTGTCCGAGATTTTGAGAGCTGACGAAGTGTTGACCTATCGCGGCAGCCTTCTCTTCAGGAGTTATCAGATGAACCACTGAGTCGCCGAGACTATCCAGTAGGGTCAGTGGTGGAATGGGTCTTGGCTTATTTTTAAGAATTTTGGTTAGTTTCCAAAAGGGCTTTGCACAATCTGGGAGAGAGCGGATCCTGTTAGCAAAGTCCTGATTTTTGAGGTCCACCATCCTGGCTTGGATGGTTTTTGTAAGGCAATTACAGTGGGTTTTAAGGACAGGCAGACCAGAGCGTTGGTACTGCCTTCGGATGGTGTTACGGAGTCTTATAAGGTATTTGATAGATCTGTCAAGGTTCAGAGCATTGCTCACCTGTCTGGATACTGGCACGTGTTGTTCCCTGGCCCGGGATATCGCCTCCTCGATGGAATGAAGACACCGGTCAACGTCTTCGGGCGTCTCCGGAAGGACACCGTAGTCGACACAGTGTTGGAACTGATCCCAGTTGACGCGATGGTAGTTGCGTCGAGAATCTTGGAATCGGTTGACGGATGAGCCCACATCGGTCACCACCGGATAGTGGTCCGAACTCAGCTCCTGGTGGGTAACAGGTTGCGAGATGTTGTCTCCCATGTTACTGACGAAGATGTCGATGGTGGAGTGTACGCCAGACTGGCTCAAGCGGGTGGGCGAGTCCGGCGCTAAAATAGTGTAGTGAGCCTCTTGCAGGTCGGAGTTCAGGATTGTGCCCTTTTCGTTGCGTCGACTTTTGCCCCAAGCCTGGTGTTTTACGTTCAGGTGATGATGTACTTCTCACGGCGTCGAGTTAGTCTGATGATGTCTCTCCGCAGGTCTGCTGCCGATCCGTCCCTGATGGTGGCTTGTTTGGGACAGTAGGCCGACAGGAGTGGCGACTTCCACACCCACCGCTTCGATCATCTTCAGCTGGAAACTCGGTAGTAGTCGACAACCAATATTTCTTCTTAATGCGATAGCCACTCCGGTGAGG